ACCAGCATAGCACAACGTAGCATCCAACCCAGTGTGCAACGTTAACCGCCTATATGTGTGAAACGCAATGTCAAGATGCAACATAGACGCATACATATATATATATATATATGGGAAAGTGCACAAAACATCCAAGAAGCAAAAAACGCAAAAACGCACGTACGGTTTTAGAGCCGTTAGCACAAAGAAGATCCCTTGAACATTCATGTGGGACTGTCTATATAATTTCGAGTTGTTCCCTTGTGCCTCTTTAGTTCCTGTCACAAAGAAAGACTCACGATGGAACGATGGATGGTTCGCAAAAAGGGTCTTTGGCATTGGTTTGCCAGGACCTTCTGAATGGGGGCTAACTTCATGTTGCATTTGGCCATCCATTGCAACTGCGACATGTCAGTGGTGCTGCACAGATTGCGGTTCTCTGCGCGCAGCAGAGTGGTGACCTCTTTGCAGAGTGGTGACCTCTTTGTGGCTTTGCTTGTGGGGACTGTTGGCTGAGTTCCTTTGGGCTCTTGTGAGGCTCGCTATGTGGCGGGTTGGGTAGTGCATTTCGATGTCCCCTCCCTGGAAGGAAGGCGATAGGGGAGTCTTGCATGTCGAGTCTACATGCACGAAGTGACCTTTCCACCATACATGACATGTCAACATATTTTAACAGTTTTTGTTTATGTTGACGACGGGACTTGTTGTTCTTCTCGTGCTCTGGACGCTTTGCGGCCTTGCTTCCTGCTCAAAGATGTGCGGCTGTTGACTTCTTGGGAGCCTGTGTTGTCCGGCAAAGCTGTCAGTCCTGGAGGATGGCTATGTTCGTGACTGTTGACATGGTGCGGTTGCAAAGCCCAAGTCACTTCAAGTGTTTGCCTCCTTTTTTGAGAGATACAAAGCCAAGCGCGTCGCCAAGCATCGCCGTTTGAACTCCGTGCAGCTTGGCCGGTTGGCCTACCCTTAATCGGATCAGATCTGGGGAAAGCTATCGATCGAGGGTCTCCCCGCAGCTTCCACCCGGGTTCGCGCTTTGGCGCGGGATTCGCCTCCACATTGGGATGTTTTGGTTGGCAGATTGACGAAGGCCTCCACTTGTGGTGTGGTGTACTGTTCTAGGGCTCCCCTTCACAGGCGCAATCTGATTGCTTGATATTGCGTGTGGTGGACTGGAATTGATCGCCCCACTTCCAGTGCTTGCCTCGTGGCTCTCATTCAGGGCTTGCCGCAGTGCTGTGACTGCGCTGGATTTGTCGCACTTGACGGCTTTATCTGGCTCCACAGTGTGGCGCTGGGCGGGGAGCTCCACAGTTCTTCGTCCTCCCTCCTTTCCGTGCGCGATCCGAACAGGTGGTGAAACACGTGGTGATCCGACACCTGTCGTCGACACGTTTGGAAGACGGCGCGACGTCGAACGCGGTGGGCCAGGCGTGTTCTGCCAGTCAGCGATCGAGAACGCGCAGAAGGACCATGCGGCTGTGGTCCAGAATATTTTGGACAACAAGGACAGGAAGAACGGCCAAACGGCCAAACGTGGAGCAGCCGAAGTCTGGGTTGAAAGGAAGACGCTAGGAGCTAGCGTTGTACCAATGCACCATACCACAAAGGGAACATGTGCTACATACCATTCCACGAATTTCCATGATATTCCACGCAACTGTAGCATATTGAGGTGGCTGGGGCGTTCTTCCGGTGGTTTGTTCCTACCAATTGGCCGAAAGGTGTCATTTTCCTCAACGCCAGGGAAAATGGATTTCAAAGAGGGGGTTTCGGAGCCCCAAGTGAGTGGATTGGTTCATATTCCATCTACTCCATAATGGTTATGGAACCACAAAACCTGACCAGAATAGACTGTAATACATTTACATATTAACTATATGTAATATATTGCATGCGTCTTGGTAGTCCAGATGAACTCATGGCCCAACCAGAGTGGCCGCCGGAGTACCATCACAGAGGCCCCGAAAAAGGACTGACAGGAAGTACAACAGCTTGATTCTTCGATGGTGACAGATGGTTTCCACAGTGTCGTGTGGGTTTTAACGGAAGCAGCACTTATGATGACGCGACCCGGTCGCGACATCCAACGGAGGAGCCATCCAATGACGCTTTTTCGGTAGTATAGATAGATGATCTATATATATTATATATAAATAATATATTGTGTTGGAGTGAGACGATGAGGCCATTCGGAGCTTTTCAAGTTCGACGTTTTCTGCCAGGAATCTCATTTGAAGAAGATCCGAGCACTCTTTTTCAAGTTGGGCGCTGACGACACCGGAGTCGTTACTTTCGATATGCTCCAAGAGCAATTTTCCACGCCAGCAGTGCGGGAATATTTTGAAAGCTTGGGTTTCTCGGCAGGATTGGACGACCAATGGTGGTAGTGGTGGAACGTGCAAGGGTTTTATTCTTGTTCGGGAGGATGTTTCCTTATGTACCCTTCCGTGAACAGACCTAGCAACCTACAGTGCGGTTGCGACCATTTGAACAGCAGTGGAGTAGTGTGGTTTGACTGCTTCCAAGAACACCACGGTGCATCACCAGGTCAGGACACGTGCCGTTTGGGTACTTTTCTTCGTTTTGAGGTAAAACGGTTTGTTCATCCCTAGGCTCCAAGTGCCTCCTGAGAAGGTATATCTTTGGACCCTTTAAACGCACTCCAGTCCCACCTTCGAAACGAAGCTATGGCTGGAGCCCTAGGGCATAGGTCGACCGGTTCTCTTTGGAATCGACGACCTACGAGCGAATTAAATGATCACCCTTGGGCCGATTTCGGGAAGAGAACTCGCTCAGCAACAGTCAGGTGAAGTACCTGGTAGGGTTTAGAGATAGCAGACCCACGAGACATGCCAGATTTAAAGGGATATCCGTGGTATACGCACCTTTCTTTTAAATAACCTTTCCAACTTTGGTGAACTGTGTGATGTGGACTGACTTTTCAGGATGTGAACTGACGGTTTATGAAGCCGATTATATTGTGAAGGTTAACATCATCAAAGTTTTGATTAGGACACGCTGTCCTTCAGGAATTTTGCGGAGAACGATGCTTCCAACAATGTTTGTTTTTGGTCTCAACCTTCTCCCCATGCAACACACACACAACCCACCCAGAAATCATTGAAGTGTCAGTTAGTCATAGTGGATGGCTGGTGATGGCCTCACCAAGGCCTTTGTTCTTTTTTGAGAAGCCCCAGCTCTCAAATGCATGTCCTCCATTCAAAGGCAGTGGCATTCCTCCCTTCACCCTGTGTCACTATGTCTCAGGCATGGAATCCAGTCAGGCATCCAGTGAAGCATTCAGCACGTAACGCCTTTATCGGGGCGACACTCGGCCTGGGTGGGTGCGGTCGACACTCCGCCAGTCCATGCGCTTTTGCCAAGGGCTTGATGTCTCAGATGCCTGGTCCTTCTTCAAGCTACTGGATGTCGATGGAGGCCGGGAAACCGTGACGACATGCTTACTGTGTCCAGGCCTGTAGACGGAGGGCGATGGTGGAAATCTTTTGTGAGCAAATCCCCTTGTTATTTTATGTTATTTTGGGGGGGAAGATGTTCTGCATTTTTTCCCCTGGACAGCAACTCCCATGAGATATGACTATGGTCAATTCGCACTCCTCCTGCAAGCACGGGATGACATGCGGGTTGTGGTGGAGAATCTGCCACTCTGGCGACGTGATGCCTTACATGACAATGTGGCCAAGTACTATACTGACCCATCCACACATAGAAGTGGTTCTTGAAAAGAACAAACAACGCAACTTGGATGTGTCTTCTTGTAGAACAACACAGAAGCACCTACAAATCATAAACCCATGCACGTGCTTTGGATAGATTATGTCTTCAAGGTCATTGTCTCTTTCAAAAGCTATCTGTCTCCCAAGTCATGAACAAACAAGAATGAACACATCACAACAAACACACGTGCACACTTACTGTAAATGACTGTCACAGATTTGATGTCTGACCCCGCATAGGCTTCTGTCATCTCAATCCTTTTGTTTTGGGGCTGGATCCTCTCGAACGATGAAACTGAAATCAGTTTCCACCTTTGATGCTCTCACCTCTGGTGCCAGACTTGTCAAGAGCGCAGGATAGACAGACCAGGTCCTCTTCAAAGGCACAAATGCTTGTCATTCTGCGTGATCCATGTTTGGGCAATGTTTCGCCATGTCCACTCCGTGTGTTTGTGACCACTTGTAGCAACTTGGCTGAAAACGCCAGGAGGGGCAGTGGAGATCGAGGAATTCCTCTTGGGTTGCTTGCGCTTGCGGGGGCAAGCCCGGGCCATGGACATTGCGAAATTGAAGCCTGACGACCATGGCCGCCGACCGTGCGTGCGCATGCGTGCGCATGTGTGTGGGTGCCGGGTTTGAGTCTGGTTGTTTTCGCCGACCAACTTGTTGAACTCTTGGACCAGCACCTGACTGCAGTCTTGGACCAGCATCCTGATGTGGCACTTGGGCTGCGGAGTCCGAGTTCGTGTTTTCACACGTTTTCACAAGGGACTTGTTCATGCTTTTGTTGTCCCTGAACTGAGAACTGGCCAGGAGTGTGTGGTGCTTGTTTTATGACAGGTGCAAGAAACTTTGGAATCTATGATCACTATATAGGATACCTACCATCATTGAAGTCATTGATATTTGACACCAAAACAGATTATATTGAGCTGAAACAGGCACATTATGTATTAAGCAAGGAACGATCCCAAGGATTCAGAAATCGCTTGGCCACCCCTTTGAATTAAAGTGTTTAAATTGATATGCTTATGCTGCCTTGTCGCGCTAGCAAAACGCAGCATTGTTCCAGGCTTGCGCTGGGGCTGGTGCTAGTCGTTGCTACTCGTAAGTTGCTGCTGCAGATTGTGTGCCTGCGTAGGGAGCATGAGTACTTGGTAGTTCACTCTTCGACTGTTCACTGATTTGTATAGATATTACTACCTAGAGACACCTACCCAGTGCAAAAATTGAATGCTAAGTCGCTACTGCAGACACCACACACTGTTGCTTTCATGCACACACACACAGAAGCCCTAAGAGGATGTTCCTACTGTTTTTAGATATTTAGTAGTCGTGTACTGTATGGAAGAGACAATTATGTTAAAGTCATTCAAGCCGGACAACCGCATTATTGGGCCCTGGTGCAATTAGAACAGCGATGGTACAGCACTGTTTGCCAGGACCTTGAGTGGTTACAGTCGATTTGCACAGAAGTCGAAATACCGGATTGGACCGTAGATAGCTGGCCACATGCCTCCTTTGATTCTAATGCCAGTATTGGACAGGACTTTGGGAATAGAGGTCAGACCACCAATCTGAAATTCGATGACTAATTAGATGCAGATGCCGCAGACAGACGTCCTTGGCAAAAGCGAAGGAACGCCAGCAAGCCAAGCCCGGACAGCCTTTGTGTGCTCTTGATCACAGCTGTTCCGGTGGTTTCGGCACTAGTGGAGGAGCGCTAGGCCGCTAGGCCCGGACCTAGACTAGACCACTGGTTGACCATTTTTGTCCACTCACTTATACAGACATCATATGGTATCCTTACACTATCCAGTAATTGAGCTTAAATGTCCTTTCTACAGCATAGCTGCGACGGTTACCATGTGTGTTGCCTGAATTTCAGTGATCTGTTCGTGTTCCCTGACCCAGGATGTTTGACCAGAACTGGCTCATCAAGAGTCAAGGAAAGCACCTCGGCGGACCGAAGCGCTACGTCTCCACCGGTGGAACCGGGGAGGGACCGTGTACCGAACCAGTCAACCAGTGAGTACAGCTGTTTTTCGGTGCGGCTCTAGGGTTTCCACAGGATGTTTTGCTACATCTCTTGGGAGAACCATGCATTCTTTTTGGTATGTCTGCCCGAAGGTTTTGCACCGTGGAGGGGTTCCCGGTTTTCGGAAGTGGAGTCCGTTTTTCCGGTTTATGCTGAATTCTTCCAGAGATACTTTCTCTTGATGTCAGGTCGGCAGCCCGAACTCGCCGGGAACCTGTCTCTGGGGTGTTGGCGGTGTGGGCACCCATCAAAATCTTATGAACTCGCAACATGTAAATCAGTTGTTTGACAGGCAACCCAAAGAATCAAAGAAAGAGGCCGTCCCTGGATCTGAGATCCCCTATGCTGGTTGATCTGCCGTGGCAGGGTCTGAAGAGCTTGCATCTGCCATGTTTCGGTGGAGTTCTTTTTTGTGCCACTTCTTGGAGATCCACCAATGGATCTTTAGATCCATCGAACAGTAGATCCCACTCTCGGAGAACGCCGGTGTCAACGGTGGGATGAAGAGGATTGCGTTCCTTCGGACTGCGCAGCCGACAGCCGAGGTTCCAGCACTTTGTGGAGGAACAGCTGAATAAATTGAGTGGCGAGGTTCCTGGGTTTCAAACTGCCGAACAGAGAGTGAGCTCGGATTCGACGCCGGGATGGGTGTGGTGTGTTCACACCTGAAAGACGCCGTGGTCGTGGTGGAACATGAACTCCGACTGGGGAGACGGGCGGTGGGAGACGGGCGCAAAAATGGCCAGGGACTCGACCACCCCGCACCTCTCGGGTCTTGAAGATCCATACATTTACCATGCACTCACATCACTGACATGGACGGGAAGACCATTTTGCATCATTTTGCTTTATGAATAGGTGCTTTGGGAGTCGTACATCATGCGTGTTATGATCTAGCTGTTGCGAAGCAGGAGGGAGTTCAGAAGCCGGGGGTATCGTTCCCCAGGAGCTACAAGGATCCCAGGAGTTACAGGGAGTTCCCCGAACCCCTTGCTAGTTCTAGTCTATGTACTATGTACACTCCCTGAAATCATCATGGAAGTGGATGGCATGCCCCAGCAGGATGACCCTTTTTCCGAATACCAGCACAGATGGTGCCAGCCACTTGCATCGATGATTTCAAGGGAGTGTAGGAGTATTGGTGACCCTTTGGATGGTGCGACTGAGTCTTTGATTCCGGCATGGACTCCCGTAAAAACACCCTGAGGGTTCAGGTACCTCCTATGCATGGATTCGGGTGTTGAAGGCTTTTGAGGTTTTTATATCCCAAAGATGCATATGTTAGACTCACCATCCCGCAGATCTGGGTGATTTCCTTTTCAATCGAAATATATAATGACAAGTCCAGATGCTGTGGAAACGACATGAACATGTCGTTTGACCCTAGAGGATTCTCATCTCAAGCCTATGTGCCAGTATTGATTGACCAGAGCCAGGAATATGGGGACATGACATACCCACCTGACATACCCACCGCAGCCATGCCATCGCCGCCCCCGGCTGTTTTTAAAGAGACGCGGGCCATTCAGTTTCACTTCCCCGGGCCTTGAAGAGGTTGTTCGTGCATCCAAATGGAGTGGGTTTATTCATCAATGTGAGTCGTTTTCTTTCTATTGTTTTCCGATTCTTCAACATCAACATCAATGGGGTGGTGTTTATTCATCAATGAGTCGTTGCTGTTTTCTTCCTACCCTAAGAATCAAGGACCCTCAAACACATAGGGTTTCAGGGTCCGCTATGGAGGGTCCGACCCCTGCCATTCTCGTGCACCGTGACACGTCTCGTGCACAGTTGAACCATGCCGCCGGTGACACGTCTCGGTCGGGGCGGTGCTTTCACCGGGCCGCCGAATAAACGCCCGTTGGGCCTTTCACCGGAAAGTCTATATAGAGTCTATATACGCTCGAATCAGAACGGACCCTCCGTAGTCCGTAGGGTGAAAAGACGGGTTTGGACCCGAAGCAACGGGTTTGGGTCCTTGATTCTTAGGGTAAATAAGATACTGATAGATACTGTATATTGCTTTCTAAGTAAGGCTGCTTCATACACTTGCACTTCAGGTTCGACCATTCATTTCGCATTCCTGTGGGGCGATCGCTCGGCTTACATGTCAACCAGGCAAAACAACCCCCATGACATCTTGGTTTGGCGGACTGCGACGTCCGCAGCTGCGTGCGTCCGTAGCTCACAAAAAGTGTTTCAATTGGCATCCTTATGCGTTTGGTCCAAACCTGAGGTGCGAATCCTTGCTGCTATGTTTGGGAGCAGTCGTCGCATGTCTTCTTCGGTGATCTCTGCCCATTCGGACCCTGAGACGTGAGCGAGGCGAGGTTCCGCAGGGAGGGAAAGCTCCGCGGTGGAGGATGAGGTACCAGGCCCAAGTGGCATTTTGGAGAGCCGACATCGGTGCGTATTCAAGTAGGACTTCCGAAGTAACGGGCTGTCAACTGGTTCCACCAGAACTCTCTGGTGGTCTCCATGTTCCAATTTGCACAGCAACCTGGTGTTAAATCAACAGCCTCTGTCAAGCTTGCATTGGGAACCAGCCTTAACCGGAGACTTGGATGAACCGGAAGAATATGTCAAACGAGTCCCGGGGCTGCGTCGGTCCCAGCGGGTGTTCTGTATGTGCTGACGGTGTTGACCAAACGGGTCCCCAAAGCATCAGAGACCCGACCACTTCTGGAGGGTCCAATGACCCTATTAAAATCGCAGGGGTTTGGCCCCGAACCAAACCTTCATGATGACTTGAGGGTCCTTGATTCTTGTGGTAGTACAGTAACTTCAGAGTAGAGGATGACTGTGCGCGGTGGCGCAGTGCTACTTGAACACTTGAAGTCTCCGTGTATCACGACATTTCTCCCACCGGCGCATGCAACTCGCCACCCTGCGCCAGCTAAACCAGGCCGATGACAAGTCCAACTGTGGCAGTCCAGGCCGAAGTCTTGAAGAACCAACTCCCTGGTCGACTCATTCTTGTCTAATTTGACCTGCAGTGGTTGACCCTGACCCTCATGCTCACCCAAAGTCGCCGAACTGTGTCCAGGAAGGAAGGAAAGCAACCACTGCAGACGACCTGACGAGGCCTGACTTTTGGTCGGAATGGATTCTTCGCCAAGCCAGGTTCATGGCCTTCCAAGGGGTGCTCAACGGAAGCCTGTAAGTGTAGTCCAGTGGACCCCCGACAGGATGGTCATGGTATTTATATATAGTTATATGGCTACTATATATAGTTCATTGTTTGAATCGTTTTTGGACAATTGCTTCAGTGCCGTCCAGTGCCATTGGGTTGATCCGATCAAACGCCCCCTTTTTTATCTATGTTTTCCGAGAAAAGGTGGGTTGCCAAGTTCTGAATTGATCATAATTGTATATGATGCACCCCCTGGAAGTCATGGAATTGGACAATGGCCTCCGAAGACTCAGATGAGTCCGATCCAGATCCCCTTCGAAACGTCGATGGGATCCCCTTCGAAACTCACGCAGGGAACTCGAGGCACTGGGTTTGTGAAGCACTCATTCTTGTTACGGCTAGCTTCTTGTTACTACTAGTAAGGCACTTGCTCCTAGTAGCGATGCACTTGGTCATGTGCTCTCACTTTGAGAGCGACTTCGTGTGTTGTGTCCGATGCTCCAGGGCTGACGATCCGGAGATGCCGACGAGTCGAATGCCTGCCCTGCTTCCATGTAATGCGGATAGATCCAAATAGCCTTTGCTTTGTCGATCAGAGGATTTGGGATGGTTTCCTTGGGATTTGGGGTGCCACGGATAGGAGCGGTCCCTCTAGGCCAACAAAAAGGCATTGCAGCGAAATGCTCCAAGTGGAAGTGCTCGAAGCAGAGACCATCACGCCCCCCTACTGTTGATGGAAGAAATCGCCTGAGGCAGACGCTCGGACCGAGTCTCCTAGTGGTGCAGAAATTGTTGCACCGCTGGATTGGTGCTCCGTGGAACCGATTGGTGCTAATATATATAGCCAGGGTTCTTGCTGAAAAGTAGCTTCAAGAACCATGAACATAGTGGGTTCTCTTGGGCTGAATCATGCCTCACTTCTAAGAACATCCCCTGCAAAAGCTCCTTTCTTCAGTGCTTTTCTGGCTGAAGCTTGGTACGGAATGCAGGGCGTTTCGCCCGCCAGATATATATATATATATGTATATATAAATTCCTCCCGATCCATGGCCTCATTCCTGACTAGGCACCAGTTGGTCATCTAATTAGAATGAATAATTAGACATATTAGACCATTCTGTTCCGTGCGTCCAAAACCCAGACACTTCCGGTTTTGTGGTGACGCAACAGTCCAAAAGTATCAACCTAAGAGCAATGGCCTCCAACCTAATAGCATGGCCTCCAACCTACTAGCGATGGCCACCAACCTAATCTGATGGATCCATAAGAATCCACAATGGTCCACAGGCCCTTGAGGGGGTACAGTGCCCCGGAATGATCATAGAAGTGTATGACGTGGCCCCCAACGACTACCATGTTCCGAATACCAAACAGGTGGTGCCATCCACTTCCATTACTATTTCAAGTAAATTGATCCGGCATTACTATTCAGTCGAGACGAATCTACCTGGGTGCCTTTTGTTTTGATTCTTGCATCTCATGGGTTTCATTTCTTGATCGTCTTTTTGGGCGAAACAGCGCATGCTTGGCAAAACCAAGAAATGCACCACATCGTGTCCATCCACCTAAAATCCCTTTTCGTTTGACCAGCAACCGCCTCCAAAAGCCATCTCCTTTGGAGCAGATTCTTGACCTTCAACCCCCCTGCCATCCCCAGTCTCCTCCCAAGTTCCCTCCCAAGCCCGCTTGACCAGGCCTGCCTCAGAGTTCGTCAGTGCTGTACAATGTGAGGTTTACTTTGCAATATAATTTTATCAAAGGCGGGGAGCCGAAGAAATGGACCAGTCAGTTTCCACAGTGGTCACTTGTGTTTCCAATGTATGGTTTCAATGAGATGTATGGTTTCAACACTTAACCTTGTGGGTTCAACAGCCAGAAGGTTTGTCGAAATGGTCGCAGGCAGCTCCATTGCATGGCCCAGGTAAGGAAGGTCAAGCAAATACGACCAGAGCCGCAAAGCTGCGAGAATTTGCGACGCCGCAAAGCTGCGAGAAACCGACCGGAGCGGCGAAGCTGCAAGAAGCTGCAAATCTGCGGGAAACCTACCCCTTGCCAGACCCTTGATGCGACCCGCGACCCCGAGACCTCCTTTGCAAGACCTCCTTCGCAAGACCCGCAGACCGGAACATCATGAGTCTGATCATTTTAAGAGCAAGACCCCTGAAGCTGGATGATCCTGATGCATCTTCACCTTATCAGGGAACTGCATCCAATCCTGCCATTGAGCGGCACAACAATTTGGATGCGGATGCGGTTGAATAGCCGAAGTCTTTGATCGAGGTTTGGGACCTTGACGCACGGGTCACGAGCTACGCATGCATGGGAGGGGTGCACTGCTCATGTCAACCTCACTCTGGTGAGAGAGTGCAGAAGAAGGCGAGCTGGTATGTGTGCCAATGTGGTTTTTCCGGCTAAAGTCGCAGAGCCCTTTGAAATTGCCAGCCCGGGCTTGGCTTGACAGAGGTGGTCTTAGATGGCCTGTCCATCTAAGACCACCCTGTCAAACCCAGCCCTGTCAAATCGGCGAAAGAGGAGACGGAGGTTGTCGATCTGGATACAGTTTTAAGCCAAACGTGCTTAAGCCGTGGAGGTGGCCCTCAAGGCGGCAATAATAAACTTCCCTACTCCCCTGCCAGCAGACTCCATCTCAAAATCAAGTACAGTGTATACCAAGTTTGAGAGCTCAGAGACCTCGCTGGAATGTATTCTGAACTGACCACCCTTCCCTTTTGATAATTCAACTCGATGTGCAATCTTGGGTGAAGCTGTTCTTACCATGTGTGCTTCGCCGTTTTTCGCTGTGATTACCAGCGTGTTTGTTTCTGACTGCGGAGGCCCAGGGCCCTGCTGAGAACTCACTGGTATCCCCAAGCCCCAAAGACTATCCTTTGGGAGTGCAGTCGTATTACGATTCATTCTTCACGAAAAATCTTGGACCTCAAGGTATTGAAATCAGTCCATCCACGGAGTTTCCCCAGCCTCTGACTGATCGTCAGACGTCTTACGTCATCTCTGCCCACGCCAAAGGCGCTGGCCGCTTCGAATTCAAGCGTTGGTCAAAGCGACCCCAAGAATCCACTTGATTCGACGATGCAAATCACCATGTGCATGTGTACACCACACACCACCTACGTTGTGAACATCATTGTTTTTCAAACATAATCATGGGTAAGGCATGGCATTAATCCGAAACAACATGAAAACTGATTGATACATATTGTGGGAGCACGCTTGGTTCATAATTCAGAATTCATCATTTAAGCGTTTGGACCCCCCCGAAATGGCATCAAAACTAGCTGGATTCTCTTTACTTTCATGCCGTTTAAGGGAGAGGGGCCTTTGACTTTCTATAGGCATCATTTGGCAGCAGCTTTTGTTTAACCAGCTGTGGTTTTGTTGCAGCCAATGGTTTTGTCAGTCAGTGGATCGGGCGCGGCGCTTGATCCAACCTTGTGGGTTTTTCCCTCGTGCATTCAACATTGATCTGAGGATCCGCAGAAGGTTTTGACATCCATCATGGAGGCTTCATCTGACATCTGCTGCATCCGCAGCTCTTGGAACTTTCCCCAAAAATTGTCACGTTCCACAGCGCCCTACGCGTTGCAATGATGTTGGAAAATGCTCATTTGGTTGGTCGGCTGGTTGGTTGGATGGTTGGTGGGATGGTTGATTTGTTGGTTGGTATTTGTTTTGTCTCACTGCTTGTGCCATTCTCAGTGCAGTATTTCAGACCGGATCTGGCAACTTGGAATGTCCCAAGGCATCCAAGTCCACTGGGAGTTTTGGCGGGTGAGGTTTTCTGGGTCGGTCCTGAACTCTGAGGACGGAGCTCGGTTGCTGGGTCGAGAGTGAACCATGAACTGTTTGCAACAACGCATGACATTTGGTCAGGGAGTGTTTTTTTTTTTTTTTAAGGGGTGGTCCACGAGCTCGCGAAGGGGTCCCCTTAAGAGAAACCGATCCGCCTTCGCAGCACAGGGGTCGGCCGGACTGTAACATCGATCAAGAGTGTCCGCATCGTCGTCGGCTATTCGATCCGACCTGGTGAGGTGTCGGGACCCGAGCCTTGAACCCCAAATACTCCTTGCCGCATCGCTTCGGGCTGTAGGTGGACCACCTCAGGCGGGTCACCACCTGGCTGGATTCGATGAACAACCATTTTGGGACTCATTTTGGGCTGTAGGTGGTTCCACGTTGAAGTGCGGGCAGCACTTCATAAATGTCCAACATCCGGTTTTCCCCAGGGATTCAGGCTCAGCTGCTCTGCTCAGAGGTATCTTTATTAAACGCATCTCATTGTTGTAAGGGAGTCTTTGCTCAAAAGCATCCAGGTCCCTCGCTTGAAGATTATTCTTGCAACTGTGGGAAGGTTTCCACCTCTCAAATCGGGTGATGACGTGTAGTGTAGGCAGGATGCTCATGGATCATCTAGAAATTTGCGTTGCAGTTCTCTGCTACCAAGCTAACTGGAATGGTAGCGTTTTCCAGTCCCATATTGCTTGGACTGTTCTTTGGTAAGGGGACCTAGACTTCTTCCGCTGAACTTCGCATTTAACACACGAAAACTCTGCGATATGGGCCACCCCTATCAACATGTTTTGGATCTTTGAGATTCTCTACAGTACACTGTTTGTTTGATTAGGACCAAACACACCCATGACTCAACCACTAAGACGGTCGATCCGATGGTTTTGGGGCCAAGAGAGCACGGGTGAAGCTGTGGTGAAGCTCAGCCGAGATCGACACCGATTGGTGTCAGCTTGGCAGAACGACCATTTGATCCGCAAGTGAGTGGATGACGGGATTGGACAGAGCTGTGACTATTTGCCGAAGTGGGACATAGAACATGTTCTTGTGCCTAGTTCTTTGCAGCCCCCATGGGTCTCTGGAGTACTGAGCTTCGCTTTGTTTCTCAGTTTCAGGTATACAATGAGAGTAGATGGCACAAACTTCAAGATGTCTTGTTAGATGGGGTTCTATATAAGCCACATTATATAGTTAAAACTTAAACCACCAAGCTTGAGGATTGTGCCATCTGTACAATTACTCTTAAGCCACTATGGGTGATGGGGTCAAATTCTCCCGTTTCGGGTGGGCTCTGCCCCAAAAACCTGCCACCACTGAACTGGCGGATCAGTCTGAGATTCGCGTATCTAACTCCCCGATCTCGCAGATCTCGCAGATCTCGCGCGCTCCACTCCTTCGAAGCAACGGGGGTTTCTCGGTCGACGGTCGATCCGCTGGAAGGACCGAGACCGAAGAAACGCGAAGAGCGAGACGAGAGCGAGACGAGAGCGAGACGAGTCGGGCGAAGGGGTGAACACGTCGACGGTGAAGCGACGAACGGAGTGACACGAACGGGCATCCGCGACACGAACGGAGCGATCGGGCGCGAACCGAACGGGGCGCTACGAACGGCAAGACGACGAAGGAACAAGAAGCTACGAACGTAACAAAGGGTCCATGAAGGGTCCAGCTCTTCGGTTCTTTGAAGAACTTTTTATACTTATTTTATTGTGCCAGCCCCCCCGTGTTCTATACCATTCTTGTCCATGGACCATGGCGGGTTTCCCTTCCAAAATGGGCCGGAAAAAGAGGCCCGGACGACTATATTACAACATATTAGAACATATTACAACGATTACAAGATATTTTAAAACCACTGATTGAGAAAAACCAAAGGGGTCAGCCTCAGAATCTCGAAGATCTGGAAGCTTCCAGCGGTCCTGCAGGTTGGATCCATCGATGGCCGACTCCAGGTTGGTCGATTTATGGGAAGGGGAGGCTCCAGGTGTACTACCTAGTAGGCGGGTAAATGATGCTAAATGGTACCTGGCACAGACATCCCCTCAATTGCAAAGTGACTTTACTATGGCCTCGATTCATAGGCACCACGCCAGCATGAG